ATGAATTGTATTACTCCTCAAAACCGCAGCTGAAGATGAGTAACATCACCTATCTTCAATCCTAGGATTATAAAAAAACTTGGTTTCATGACCATAATATTCTGGCATTAGAGTTTTAGAAAACCTTCGCGGTGTATGTAATACTCTTTTCTTCTGAAAATACATCCATCAGGTGATCATGAGTTACTTAGATTTTTGACTTTGCTCAAAAACACAAATATAGGGATTCTTTTTCCGGCGGCAATGAGGTCTAATGCTTGGTTGGGATAATAACATTATTCTGTTGTCAACTGCGCACTTCGTAAATTTTAGGCCATGCTTGCAAACTCTAAAAAGATTTATGTCTAAAGTTCAATTGTAACCAAATAGCAACCATAGAAAAAAAATTAATTGTGGCATCGTCCCAATTAATTGTTAAAAAAGTTTAATTGTGACAAAGGTGGCATTTTTTATTGAAATGCCACTTTTAATGAGGTCTGCTATAACGGGATGTCTTTCATACTCATGACAATTGGAGACAAGTCTGTATTGACGACCACGATGTAATTGGCTAGCAGGAACGTAATCATCTGAAAATACATAATTTGGGTGGTCTCATACGTACTTTGCATACATCTGCTATCGTGGTTCAATGCACTTTGTCTCATTGGCTTGAACGTCATTAGTCCAAGTAGTACAAGTTTTAAATCTCCTCTTGACTATTGAGTAGTTATCACCACGTTTTTCTCATTGGAGTCTCTCGGTCTTTTGGATCACGATTACCGAAAAGATAGCAAGACCTATGGAAGCAAACATCACAGTCAACAGGTTATTTTTTCTTTTGATAGCTAGTACACCACATACATATATGTGGCACGTGTCGTAATAGATTTTTCATTGGCTAACCTAGGCATTGACTTCAGAGCATGCACAATCAAAAATTTCCAAAGATTTCAAGTCATAGGCTTCAAATGTCCTTAGTCCAGCCAGCTCATCTCGTCTCACATCGAACTCTTATTCAACAAAATATACTAAGTTGAGGATGCTGACTTCAGTGTATTTGTGGCAGAATTATGCGAAATAAAATGATTGAAATAGAAAATGGAATGAAGGCATAAAGCTTTTCTTGAAAGAATTATCCAAAATTCATTGTTTGACTTTGCTCGGAAAATATGTTATGATTGAAAGTAGCAATTTGGTACGCTTATGAAATGTCTTCAACATAAATTTGATTGAGAAGGGAATTTTTTTATCACGTGGAAATTTGTATACTGGGTTCAAATATGGCATATCAGAAGTAACTTCGAAAATTATGTGATGTAAGAATGAACGATTAAATTATAATATTTTGGCTGAAAAAGTGAATTTCTTAATGATGACTAGTGATGATGAAGATATATTGCTGTAGTGTGTGACGTGATTTATTTTGAAATATACATATCATGTGTTTTTTTCAGAGGTTTGGATATCACAATGAAAATCTATTTCAACATTACAGCCAACTAACTGCAAGAGTGTTAAACATCTAGTTTTGAGATGCAATAATATGATACAATCTGAACAAGTATCTTGAAAAGTATGAATTGAAGAAAGTAGGCAGCTTATAATGTCTTAACATATTCTTTTTTTGATTAAACAACTAAGATGAATATTATATTGAAGTGAAGTTGATTTTGGTTCTAAATAAACAAAAACGTGATTATATTGATATTTATGTCTATTCTAAAAGCATAAGTTTGTATTCATAGTTGTACAGAATATAATGATTCATTTTCAAGCACAACAAGGCCTTCAAACGTAATGTCTTTCCTACTTATAAATATTCTGAGCTCTATGCACTTCTTAGCAAAAATTGGATTTAAAATCATTTTGTGTATACCTCGTTTTTTGATGTTACAAACCATAAACGTTCCAAATTCATATGTATTTTGCAATATTATGTATAGAGAAATTTGATTCTATGTATAAATGAAAAATCCATGAATTCTAAATAATAAAAAATGAAAGCAATCAGATACATATTTTGTAGATTATGGTGATAGAAAATTGAAGAGTGGAACTTAATTTTTTTAAAGCTAATATAAAAATGTAATTTTTTCCCCAAAAATTCAATTTATTTAAAACACTTCAAAATCGTAGACTTTATACTATATTAAACTTAATGTAATTCAGATTTTTCATTCAACTGAGCAAGTTGTGAAGTAATAACGAAATTTTGAATTTTGTATTCATAGTTTGACAGAATTTAATGATTCATTTTCAAGTACGAATAAGACTTCATACATAATGTCTTTCCTTCCTATTAATATTCTGAGCTCTATGGATTTCTTAGCAAAAATTGAAGTTAAATACCTTTGAAACCCTATAAATATTATATGTTGAATCTTTGTGAGCAGTGTATTTTTGATTTTGAAAGTTGATGTTGCATGAGCAGAATTGATTTTTGACATGATCAAAGTCAATAATATTTCTATCAACAATTTTTCTTAATTATGTTTCAGCTCCAAGTCAAATATAACAAAAGAAACAAAATAAAGCAAATGTATAATCATCATGTTCCCCAAAGTGGTTACTTCATGTAAGATGTATTAAATTAGACGTCCTACCACAAAATTATATTATAGGCCTCAGTGTGTGCTCCCTAGGTCAATTAATTGTTCAATTTCAGTATTACATGTAGAGTATGAAACTCGACACGTCTTATAACCTTGCTCGAATGATACATTTCTTGTTCAAAACTTATCTTGATGTATTCTGATCTTGAGTTATTTCCATAGTAGACTTGTGACGATCACTTGAGCAATGAAGTTGCATATGGATGAATATAAGCCAAGATATAATCTCCTCTATGTGAATCAAGTATCTCATGGAGGTCAAAGAAGCTAATGTATTCATAAATTGCTATAAAACGTTGAATGTTCTCCATTTTATATCATCACTGAAAGTATAAAACTCATGATAATAGCTAGACATTACTTCATACTAAAGGTTTCCACTGAATTCTCATTTTAAGTCCAATGCTTCAAAAGAACTTAGCCCCATGAAACAAGGAGCCAAGGACTTGGAGCTTCTCTGCCATAGAAGGCTTAGCTTCATGGAGATTAATTTACAGTTGTACGGCAGCATGAGCTGGAAGAACGGGACACCAAGTAATATAAACTCTAGTATGGGAAGAGGAATGGGAAGAAAGCTGCATGAACTTATAACAGCAGTCTTTTTAATGATTTGTATTGTTTATTATGTTGTTACAAGGGCTTTGAGAACAAGATATTATTGATATGTATCGTTCCGTATGCAGTAGCAAGAAGTTGTGTAAGAATGAGAGAAAATTATATCCATGCAGATGAGACGAGAGATGCTCCGTGCTGAACGTATGGGAGGTACTCATAAAGTCACAGAGCCGCCTGTGAGCACTTCAAGCGAAGATTGCCATAATGAGCTTTGTTTGTTTGTTTGTTTGTTGTCTCTTACGAAAGGCTGGTAAGGCTGAGGTAGTCATAATATATTCACAGAAGCCGTCTGTGAACGCAAGGACTGAAGATTGTGCATACAGTCTGTAGTGATTTATGCTTGTTTGTTTGTTGTCCCATCCTGCGAAGCAACGGGGGGAAGGACTGAAACCACCCAGCGACAAGTGTTTCAAGAAAGACTCATTAGGGTCTAAATTCCTTTTGGACTAAACAGTGAGCAGTCAGCTAGCTAAGACGGCTGAAGTTGTGAGGAGCGAATTGTGAGGCCTGGTGAATTAATCGCGATAGCTGATCAGCAGGTCTCCAAGTAGATCTTCTGTTGTTCTTTTGAGTGAGAAAATGAAAACGAAGAATATTCGAGAGTGACCAAGGAAACAACCGAAACGCCTCTAGCGTGCCTCACAACACCATTTCTGGGGATGCGTGTGCGGCTGATTTCTCCATCAAAGAGAGGGCCAGCGGAAGGACCAATAGATAGACCTGCCTAGCCTGCCAGAGCCCTAATTGGAACATGTTGCCAAGGCCTGTCGTCATAAAATCCGGCCAGGCGGATAACGCTAGGAATGCGAACGATGCATCGACGTGACAAACATCGAGCGTCTTGTGACAACTGCGCCATGTTCCGCCTGTAAAATTAGGCCAAGGGTTGACGAGACCGACATTGAATGTCTCGTGAAAATGTGCCCTTCTGCGCTCAACCCGATTGAGCAAATACCAGAACAGAACATGACTTAATTGATTAGTCGGAGACGGGCGACGTTAAAGAAGATCAACGTGTGCCAGAGCCACTAGACGTGCCTAACTACAATACACGGATAACAACGCACTGATCCCATTAAGAACAACGGTAGGTGGAGGACCTGGACATAGGCCGAGCTCGGAGGAAAACAAGGGCCGACCAACCGTACCTACAGTCTCCGAGACCGGAACCCGCGGAACGAATCGCCAAGGGATTGCAAGGACCGAGGCCCCCCAAGGCAAATAAAATCCTTCGGGCTCTCGGGGCCTCCCTCGCGCACAAGAAGGAAGAAGGACCCGGTGACCCGAGGCAACCAACTCCGCGGCCTACAAGTACGGGCAGCAGCCGAGCTCGCCCCGGGCCGTTTGAATCTGTGTTCCGGCGGCCTGCTCTGTCGCGGGCAGCGAATCGAACCGAACCGAATCGTAGAGTAGAGTCCACTGGAGTCGGGTCGAGTCGGGCGGTGGGCCCCAGCTCGAGGGGAGGAGGGGAGGCAGATTGGCTGCTCATCATAGCGAGGGACGACGTCGAAGAATCCGGGCGATGGCCACACGAGAAGGCGGCAGCAGCAGCAGCAGCAGCAGACCGATCGGGTCGCTGCCGCGGTATTCGTACAGTATTTGTAGGAGTAGGAGTAGAGTAGGAGTAGACCCGGGGCACGGAAAGTATACGGTGGTGGAGGAACGGGCGGGGCAAGAATGAACATTTGTTCCGCGGGCTGCGCGAGGAGGGTCCCAGCGAGGGAGCGAGGGAGCGAGGGAGTGAGCAACACTCATTGCCGAGAAAAGGAGGAGGCCCCGAGTGCGGGCTCGTTTGTTTGTTTGTTGTTCTGGTTGCGCAAGGCGCTCGCACGAGCGAAGGGGTCGATGTCGTAGGCTTGGAGTTGCGCTTGGAGTGGAGGTGGGACGAAGGATTCGGGGCAGAGGTGCAGATGAGGTCATGCGTAAGGTATGGAGGAGGAGGAGGAGCAGGAGCAGGACGTCGTCCGGCTTCAGTCGTCGCCAGGTGCGGGCATTGGCAGCAGGGTCAGCAGCAGCAGCAGCAGCGCCGGCCAGCAACCGGTTGGTTAGCGTAGCGTAGTGTAGTGTAGCGAAGCGAAGTTTAGCGCAGGCGAGGCGAGGCGAGCAGTGCCCAGCTACTCCTGTCTTGTCATCAATCAATCGCATGCACTTTCTCGTACGAAACGACAGGCGAGTGCGAAATAAGGCAGCGTCGAAACTCAGTGGCAGCCCAAAAGGTTTCCACGCGGTCATGGAGCCGAGGCCGGGAGGGTGAGCCCACGCAGAGATGGCGGGGAGAGAGTGTTAGCAAGGCAGGCAGGCAGGCAGGAAGGAAGGAAGGAAGGAAGGAAGGAAGGACGGAAGGAAGTGTTTCAGGCCTTTCGATCTCGTACCGCCTCTCGTGTTTCAGCGCAAAGCTGTTGTTGCTCTTCTTGCTCCTGACTCGCACGGCTGGCGCGCGTGCTTAGGTCTGTACACAAGCGTTTGGTTTCTTGGGTGGTGTAAGATGTTGTAGAGATCCGGCAATGTAAAATATGGAACTGGTGCTTGAAGAGGCTTGCTTTAGCTGTTGAGTCGCGTGGGCCCTCTGGATAGCGCGTTGTTTGTCTATCCAGGGTTGGAAGTATGGCTTCCTCGTGAGGCGTACAGCATGCTTGGGAAAACCTGTTATGGACTATGAAGTGGAGACCGCATTCGTTTGTGGCGCATCGGCTTGACCTTGGAGGCAGTGAGTGTGAGCTAGGTGCCCTGAAGGCATGAGTGCCTTGCGGGCGGCTACTTTGGTGCGGTAAGTTAGGCGTGGTCACTTTTTTATCTGCGGTGGAAATGGATGGTTCACTTCGCGCTCTCCGGACAAACGGAAAAGAGAGGCAGGTCTGTACAGGATGATCTCTGTCTAGGGATCTTGTAGAAATTGCAGGTGTAAGGATATGTGGGATAGAGTGTGCTAGGTATGAAATGACTTCTCCCTCGCTGCGATGGGTGATTCGCTTGTCGAATGTGCGATCCAAATCAGCGATGTGTGCACCTTTCAGTGATTATGGGAAAAATCTTAGACCTTGATTGGCAATGCAGGGACGGTGTCACACTTTCGACTTTTGTAGAATAGCATTTGAGGAGATTTAAAGAGAAGAACCAGTTGGATTGCAAGCCAAATCTCTTCGCCTCATTTACTGAGTGGATTCTGCGGCTGGTCCATTGTGACCGCAGCCTGTCGTACGGTCTTCAGCTAGGTTAGTCTATGGGTCAGGGAACTTCATCCGTCGCGTGTGCGTCAGGGCAAGAGGAAGAAGGAGTGCTCCAGGAGTTGGATCAGAACAAGATGCAGGGAAAAGACTTTTCTCTCCAAGTGCCGGATGAGTGCCTGTCATGCATTTTTCAGAAACTCAGCTCCGTTGATCGGAAGACATGCTCCCTTGTCTGCAAGCGTTGGCACTGGGTAGAGGGGCAGGGTCGACAGCGGCTATCCTTGTATGCACAGGAAAAGCTTCTGGATGCCCTTCCAGAATTGCTATCTCGTTTCGAGCATGTTACTAAACTCGCCTTAAAGTGTGACAAGAAGATGACGAGTATCGACGACGAAGCACTTTTTATCGTCGGCCGGGACTGCAGGCAGTTGAAGAAGTTAAAATTGAAAGGGTGCAAACAGCTGACGGACGACGGAATGGAAATTTTCGCAAGGGTTTGTGGACCACTGAAGAAAATTTCCTGCGGCTCGTGTGGTTTTGGTGCTCGAGGGCTGAATTCGATCTTACAACATTGCGTGAACCTAGAGGATCTGACTGTGAAAAGATTAAAAGGTCTCTACGAGGGTCCTTCGGAGCTCATTGGCCCAGGCTGTGGAAAGATACGGCGATTATGTCTGAAAGAGCTTTTCAATGCCCAGCTCTTCGGGCCTCTTCTCGCCGGCTCGAGGCATCTACATACTCTTATGCTTTCGAAGAACTCTGGCAACTGGGACAAGCTCCTGGACATTATTACTGAACACCTACCTGAGTTGGTGGAACTTCACATGGAGAAGCTGCAACTTAGCGACAAAGGGTTGCAGGCGGTGGCTCGATGTAAAAGTCTGGAAGTTCTGTACGTTGTGAAGGCTCCAGAGTGTACGAACGTCGGGCTCTCGGCGGTGGCAACTGGTTGCAGGCGCTTGAGGAAATTACATGTCGACGGCTGGAAGGCCAGTCGAGTCGGAGACGAAGGGCTCCTTTCGGTCGCCAGAACATGCAAGGAGTTGCAGGAGTTAGTGTTGATTGGACTTAACGCAACCATGGCCAGTCTTAGTCCACTGGCCACAAACTGCCACGGACTCGAGAGGCTAGCACTGTGTAACAGTGAGACATTCGGGGATCCAGAACTTTTATGCATCGCAACCAAGTGCCAGTCTTTAAAAAAACTATGCATCAAAAGCTGCCCGATTTCGGATCAAGGCATGGAAGTTCTTGCCAGTGGCTGCCCAAATCTAGTGAAGATCAAAATCAAGAAGTGCAGAGGCGTGACACCCGCAAGTGTAGACTGGCTTCAGAATAAGAGGGAGACGCTAATGGTAACGCTGGACACCGGGCTTCCATCACCTATTACAGATTTGGCTACAGGTAGGGCCCTGCAACCCGGAACAAATAGGGTTACTCGAGGGGCTGTTCCGCAAAACAGATCCCCATTGGCCAAAGCAAGGCTCGCAATTGTGGCGGGCGGTTCCTTCGTCGCCTGCACATTCTTGAGATGGTCGTCACCAGGTGGTAGTGGGTCGTCTTCGCCTACTTGAATTCCACAATCCTTTCCATGGTTATTGCAAGACGGCATGGTTGGCTACTGCAGTCTGTCCATCCTGGTTGCTTAAGCTGGCGGAACACTGCGAAGGGTGATTGTGTCTGGGTATGGGTGAGCAGATTTGCCTGAAAGTGTGCGTGCTTGGTTGCTTCAGTCCCTGTGGCACTTTCACGGTACTGGGAGAAGATGATGCGTTTGAACGCCATTCTAGTAACCGTGTCATGCATGATCAAAGAATCTGATGAATTCTGTTCATTGCTCTAGACTACTCTGTAAGATGAACTTATTCCGGAACTGATGGTTGGCTCGAGAGAAGGAATCGGAGATCAGGGGATTTTTGATCCTTTGATCCTGCAGATTTATTGCAGTCATATCTTGATTCTTATTTGCTCCCAAAGTGGGCAAGTTAGCGACTACTGTCTTTGGCCAAACCAAAGTGGTTTCCTAGTTTAGCCTCTTTCTTTCTCAAGCTTTGTTGTACAAATCTGGTCTGTCCTTTTTGACTGATTTTTGCGGAAGGCTCGTGTTTGTACAAACTTCTGAAGCAAGAGAAGAGGTTAGTCAAGGGATCAGGAGACGAAGCTCATTGTGAAATTTCTTTTATACCCAAAAAAGTGCCCAGTTTTAAAGTTACTGATTTCGCACAATGTGCTATTATCCACTGCCATCCTCGGGATATTTTGGATGCAGGCCCGATAGAGGTTTTAGTGAAAGATGCTGGCAGTTAAGCAATTTTTCCTGCTAGCCTTGGGAGCTCTCAGTATCCCTTGTCTGTCAGGACAGCTCAGTGAAATCTGGAGTACAGATTGGATGATTTTAAGGTCTTCGTATGTCAGGGGATTTCAGCAGATTATCCGCTCATTGTAGTGTGCGAATGTGACTTGCTTCTCCAAGAAATAAAGGCGCTCATGTGGAGATGGCATCTAATTCGGGATGTATCCTCTACTTCAAAACTTGAATGCAAGACCTCGTCCCTGTACTCGTGCATGGTTCTTCAAGGTTGGAGTAAGAATCTGAGGAAAATACATCAAGTTTGGTCGTTTACCTCGGAGACAACATGCTGGTGGCAGGGCCACCTGGAACCTGTAGCTATATCTGAACATAAATAGATTATATTTAATTCAGATTGAGTACAGTATTACGCTTCACTCTCTGTTTCCAGTTTATATATCCTGTTTGAGACCGGGAGCAATCTTCTGTTGATCATTCTTCTACGTATTACTTTCGTTTGTTATCTTTTTTGTTGAGCTGTACTCGATATCTCGGAAATTATATTCCCAGAAGACCAACACTAATTCTGTATGTGAACTTTTGAGACATATCCATTCGTTTGACTTTTCGTGCCGTAGTCAAAACATTTGTTCTCTTCTCAAAGCTGGGAGGAGTTGGTATACTTAGATATATGTTGAGGAAAGTAATATCTTAAAACGGTCATATGGACGACCTCTGACGCAGAGTTTTGGCAGATTAATGGGCCATGCCTACTGAGGACCTGTGGATGGCGCGGACCTGTCTGTAAATACATCGATGGCCAACCTTCTTACCATAGTGATCCTCGGAGAAGCTGATAACATCAATACGTGACATTCTTCATGAATATCTGTGCTAAGATATTAAAGTGATAGACTGATGTCATAGTTCGATCAATGTGCTAATTTTCGCGGCGAGAAAGTCACCCAGGAACACGAGTTCGGTGGTTTCGAGGCAACTCTGGGCATGTGAATTTTCTCGCTGATGGAAACTGTCCGACACTCTTGGCTATTTCCAGTCCGTTGTGTTGTCTAAGCTTATAACTTGATATGAACAGTTATCAATAGTAGAGTGGTTGCCTCAAGTCCTGGCGCCATCAAATGCATCGACCATTGTTCAATGTTCTAGAAAACATCTGTAGTCTGACGTACTTACATGGGGAGAGTCGTGGACTTATCTTTGGATGAATAATAAAAGCGGAAATGGTCTGTGACAGTCCAAATGTTGCACGTTTCTGGAGAAAGTGGCGTTGACATTCATGCACATACGGATGGGGAACTGAAGTCGGGTTAGCAGGAAAGAATCATACGAGTTTGTCGGATGTGAGAATTGTGTCTTTGGATTTAGTGGCTGAGACGTTGCTGAGCAAATCCTGGGCTAATGCGCTCATGCGAGTTAATAAATCAGTGTTTTCGTGATTCCGGGGTGCTAGTGGGGCTACATCACGAGCCTGCGCGCGAGCGTGCACTGCTTTTGAGAAGTCTTCCATGTTTCCTTGCATTCTGTAGTGCTGAATGTTTTCTCTGCTCAAACTCAACTCTATCTTTGGGCTTGACTTGAAAGTCGGTGTCCGACAGAATGCCCCGGGGAAGAGTAGAAACTGAAATGGTTGGAAGAATCTGCAGCACGGAATGCACACGCTACGGCGTCCGCATGCTTGGACCCCTCCTAGATAAGTCGAACCTGGTCTACATGTCGTAGCTTTGAACTTGGGTGATAAGCATACGAAGTGTAACGTACACGGAGATTCCACCGGACAGGCCAGATGTGGACTGACTTGTTTACATGGACCGCCGCTTTATTTCTGGAATCTGACTTGAAAAAGTTCCCCTCTCCTGCTTGCGATACATTTAGCTAAGCTAGCCGCTGGCCTTCTGGTTTCTCTTTTTGTAGTTGCCGCGGATCGACTTATTTGTGGTCATCGTCACGCGTGACCCGACACGGGTCATCAAAATTTTTGGCCAAGTTATAAGATCTGCACATGGTAACTGGTGCTTTGACCATAGACAGCCCGTTCTCTGTCAGTTTCTGCCTTCCACGTCCTCTGGTTGTTTCTCCAACCAGGGATCTGCTCCACTACAGTTCCCTCAAGTCAAGGGAACGCGAGACTGGCGGTCACCGAAGTTAAAGTTGAGCCGTATTGGGCCCTCGAACTGGCCATTCTAACATGACCAGTTTTCCCGGATACATAATTCGGCATTTTATTTAGAAGAAAGACTATTAGGACATTTATCAAAAAAAGTTCTGTTTGATAGATTGTCCTAGTCGTTTATCTTAGTGTATGAGCCATAGACTGCCATGGACTCGAAAAACATAGTTCAAAGATTGTATGTGTTGTAGAGCATATTTATCACGATACTACTTCTACTGAGCTCACAATCCATTGGCCCCTTCATTTGACAACACTAGCTTGTATATCTATCGAACTCGTCCTCTTTTCAGCACCTTGGTTTTGCCACATGCACGCGTGGATCTTCATCTATCCCACATTGTAGGAATATGATGATAAACGGTACGTATCTTCTACAGATTCGTTGAATCCAAATAGTTGGATACTTGGGATATTGTAGGTCCAATAAATTTGTGACGCTATTCGTCTCAGGGGCAGCCTAATGCCTGAAGGGTGTCTTCCAGTCTAATTTTTTTTCCATTTTTGGAATTCTCGACTCCTTCTTGGATCTTGCTCATACGATATGTCTAAAGGTGGCCAGCGATAGCCGGGGTCAAACTGCCTGGACAAACCTTCAAGATATGACTCCGCGAGAGGGACTATTGAATCAACAGATCAACAGATCAAGTCCAATCGACAGAGAGTACTGTACGATAAAGCCGAGCCAAAGCAAACTTCATCTGAAGCTGTACAGCTGCTTTTGACGGTGTTTCGCAGGGAGACGACTCTACTAAGCATACACTTTGGAAGTGTCAATTTGATGTTACATCTGGTCTTGCTTGGCATGTGTCACGCTTGATACAGTTGTGATCACACGTCAAACCAGTACTCCGGAGAGACCTCATGAATTTCGCGATGACAAGCCGGGAACGGACCATCAGCGAAGTCCACCCACCGGACCATCTTTATATATCCCCGGAAGCAAAATTTTACTATCCACATTCCCATTCCCGGACGTTGAATCAGTGGCGGGAGGCAAGGCTGCATGCATCGAGACGTGTCATATTCACGACCAGCGTATTGCAAAGTATCACAGCTCCAGGACATACACTTTTGCAATCTAGTAAAATGGAATTTAGGAAGACACTGCAGCTTTCGAAGACGGTTAATAGTTTGTCTGAGTGTGAACATATTGGCAAAACTGAGATGATTTTGAAGGCACAGATATTGTGTAACAGGCATATTTGCGTACGCCATCACCTGGAAACTGCTTATTTACAGGGTACATATCACATATCCTAATAATACGGTTTTCGGTTCACCCCATGCGAGACGAGACTTGGCCCACCTGGCGAAGGCTGAAGGGTTCCGGAGCCGGTAAACATTGATTCGGAGCTTTGGGAAGTCGCCAGGCGAGCGCGTGTCGGACCGTCAGAACTCGACAAAAGGTGAAGCATGCCAAGGTCATGAATCTGTACAGCAAAGCTGTATGTAGATTTCGTTGAAATAGTAACAAATTATCTTTCTCCTGCCTAGAACTGCCTTGCAGTAGCCAAGGAATAAGAAAGAAGTTCTCTAGTGCCGAGCCATTGGTCTTTCTATCACCCAGTTCCAATCTTTGCAATGAAGCATAAATAAATAAATAAATATCCAGAATCCCAAACTAAGAAACTTGGTTTTTTTACCAAATGCAGAAACAAAAGTTTTCTCAACAACCTTTCATACATTATAACAGTTCTGATTTTAAAAACAAGAAGTAAAATAATGTGGAATAGAAAAAATCTTAACAGACTACATATACGAGATCTGAAATGTGAGGAAGTTCTTCATAAAACTCTAAGTTTTAAGCTTTAGCTAAGTTCTGTCATTTAAATACTTGCTAGAGTTTGACATTTCCTCATGGTCTGATTATTTATTCTATCCAGAAAGTTCCTTTCCATAAAAATCATGAAGGTGAATGTATATTATTAAGATACTACAAACTTTATTTTGCAATATTACTCGATAAGAATTCTAAGGTTGAACATTAAAACTTTGAAAATACTGTATCCTTACAGTGTTTTCGATACTTCAGACTATCCCTTCACGAACATGTTTAAAGTGCCTTGTAATTTAATAAAGTAGATACACGATTGAACATATTAGACAGATTCTGATTGATTCAATAATAATCTAATTTTCCACATCTCAAAATTTTAGGCAATCATTATAAAACACTAACCTCTCTATCAAAAAAACGTTGACAAAAATGTTAGGGTCAATGAACTTCATTGAAAATAATCTAGGTATTTTATAAGTAAACTCCAAAATTTTCTAGTTTTCTGGATGTAATAATAAGTTGATTTTTTAACGTTGTTCTGTGTGATATTTCTAAATTGCAAATTTTTGATCAATCTTTTAACACTTAGTCTACCATTATAAGTTTAAAAGAAAAACCTCATTAAACTCCGTCGGATGTCTCCATTGAGGTAATTTTTTTCTAAAGGTGATGTGATGAATTTTCATAGCTTGAGGTTCATAACTTAAAAAGTTGTAAATGAAATAATTTAGAATTCTTTTAGAAATATTTTTTTGTGATTTTTATATGTAATTTGCAAGATAAGATTAGATCAACGTTTAATATATATTTATAAAATAGAAGAAAACATAACCACCTGTTTGGAACTCATTGCAAAGCTTCATGTTTAACATCAATTTTAGGTAACATATTTTTTCTTATAATAATCCAAACATGAGAATAATAGCTTATGATTCATTAATTACTAAGTATTTATTTACCTTGATATGAGAATTAAAAAAAAATAATTAAATTAATTGGAAAATTACAATGATCAACTAAAGATAGTTTATAACTTACAATTTTTTTCACACCAATTTTTTTTAAATAAAATTACAGCATATAATTTTTCATTCTATTGAATGAATTAATGCAATTTATGAAAATTTTTTCTCATGAATATTTCTTACTGTACAATAGTTCAAATTTGTGGTGAAATCACATAAGTAAAAATTTCAAAAATCAGTGATAATTGGTAAAAGAAAGATGAAAAATGTCTGATTTTTTGTTGTAATTTTCAAAGGTTGAAATTTTTGTTTAAAATACATGCATCTTCAAATAATTTTCAGAATTAAAAAATTTAAAGTTTTATTTATTTATTTGTAAGTATCACTAAATGAAAAGATACATACATTTCTTGTTAAGTTTCAAATTGTAAACTTATTCAGATAATATAGAAAAATAAAACCTTCATTATGTTAGCAAGAATTGATTAATCTATGGAGTTGA